ATTCTCTTCTATTCCTTTATATCATCGTGTTGCATAATGTTGCATGTTTTATCCAGATCTTATCTTCTTACTGAGTTGTTGTTTCATCAGATTAGAGTAAACATCACCCTCTCTTGTTAGTTTGTTTGGACATTTAGAAAATCTGTTGTAATTTCTGACCCCTAGTGTCACCTGTTTAAGTCTGATTCAATAGGATTACTTTACTGAATAATTAAAATCAAATCATCAAGAAAAGAAAAAAAAAAGATGTGGTCAGTTTATTCTTTTCTATTTTTTGTATCATTTTTATATTGCCTGTTTTTAATATATTGTGATATAATATTGTTTTGTATTTGTTGTAAGTTCATATGAGACCTTCACTAAAACTTAAACAGTTCTGAATATTTGATGGTACTTTATAAAGTATTCACCAAGAATTTTTTTTTTTTATTAATGATTAGAGTCAAGTGTTTCACTCCAAATGCTCATAATTCAAAAAGGAGAAGATTTTGAATTGAATTTTGCCCAGATTTCATCTTTTCTCTCCACATTCTGATTTGTTCTAATTCCTTAGATTAAAGCAAACATCGCCCTCTGGTGGTGAGATCAGCTCAAAGCTGAGATATTTTGAAAACAGATGACCTGCAGAAGATTCAGTCCATCAGCGGGAAAAGAAAACAAAAACGTACAGTTAAGACAGTTAAGTTTATATGTAATATTTTGTGTCTTTTTTTACAACACCTGAACATTTTGCATTTTTTAAATGTTTTATAAGGTTTTCATGTATATCTTCTGCCTCTCTGATTAAATTTCATTCTGTTTTCAATCTTTTTTTATATTGCTTGTTAAGAGTCTGTTACTGTTCAGAATGTCATCCTAGAGACTTTCCACTGTTGACAGTAGATTATAGACACATGAAAAATTGCTGAACTAATGACATAATAACTCTTAATGTCTTCATGTGATTATGAGATTCTTTATTTCTTGAGACAATAAATCATCAGTGGTTCATGCAGTGAAACCAAGACAACATGGATTCTCCAGTCGAGCCTCGATTTAACGTCTCCATTAATACTACAAACAGGGGAAGAGGACCAAGGGTCAGTCCTGGTAAATGTGCAGAACTAATGCTTGGCAGGGATACAAAGTCTAAATATACAGAAATATAAAGATGAAGAAATGAATACACACGCTTTACTTCTTCCTTCCATAGACGAAGCTCTGACAAATACTGTATCTCTGTGATACACAGAGAGACAAATTGCTGAAAAAAACATCTTAAGTTTCTCATGTTAAAAATAGTATTTTTAAATGAGACACCGCACACCAACGGACCAGCGGGGGTCACGTGTTCACTTTTTGTTGATGTTAATATTGACTCCTAACAGAAATGTGACTGCTGCTACAGAGCGGCCTCAGTGGCCCTTCACCTTTCTCTGTCTGTTACAGTTTGTGTGGTTTCTGTCTGAGAGTCTTAAATGATCACCATCATCTGTAGGGTCTAAAACAGAAGATATAAGGCTCGCCTTTTTAAAATAGGTTGCGTGTCCATCTGTGGTTTTTAACCTCGTCTGCTCATGACAAAGTCTGATAATAACCACTGCACGTGGTAACAAGACAGGCACAGAACTCCTTTTATATTTTATCTAATGACAGCTGCCACAGTTGTTGTAGAAACATTTTTTTTGCACAACAAAGTGAAAATGAAAAATAACAAAAAAAATAACATCTCCAAAACCAAAGTAGTTTTGAGTAAACTCTCAGTTTTCCTTGTCATCTCGTTTGTTTTCTTCACTTTGGCAGTTGCCCTTGCATACTTTACATATACACACATATTTTTGTGTAACTCTGACTTTCCCACAGTGAAGGAGCCCCACCAGCAGCAGCAGCAGAGCCACCATTAGAATGGTGAAAACAGTTCTTAAGAGGAGGTAAGTATGACAGGAGGGCTCTGGGGGGGCGGCAGTCTCTCTGCGAAGTTCAGTGTCTGTGAAAACACACAAAAAACACACAGTACCTGCATGACAAACATTGACGTTTCATTGCATTATATGTTATTATGTTTTATCTCTTACACTTGTTCAGATTTTACACTGTTGCTACAGTTTTCAGTGATTATTTCAGCACTTTTGTCACCCTTCCCAACTACAAAACCAGACAAGGCCCACAGTTTTGCCCTCTTTTACAACGCCCAGTGAATTCATAACCAAGAATCTTTCATTCCATATTAGGGTTAGGAATGATATTGTGCTAAAAACAAAAATGGCTTGTCACGTCTCACCTCTGACAGCCAGCCAGCTCTCTGGTGATTCTCCAAAGTCAGAGATGCTGCATTTGTAAAGCCCTTCTTTAGATTTAGAAACTCCCTGGATGGTCCACTCTCCTGTGGAGCCGGAGCCGATGGGGAGGCCATCTTTATAGAAGTCCGCTATGTGGGCAGAGGAGGTCATTTTACTTCGACAGCGCAGAGTCACAGTGTCCCCCTTCATCACAGGGACCGCTGGACTCTCCAGGATCACAGAACCAGCTAAACAAGAAGAATACATTTATGAATTAAAAGAATTAAAATAGAAAATTGAGCATTAGTCATTTGATAGTTAAGAAAGTAATGATGCTAATAATCATGGTTAAGAATTATCAGCAAATATTTGTTCATCAATAAGTCCGTTACCAGTGATAGTGATGTTGACAGTGTTGCTTCTCTCTTCTCCAGTCTCACACCAGTATTCCCCACTGTCTGTTGGATAAGCAGGTTTGATGGCACATGCTGACGGTGTCGTCCTCTCCCAGGTAGTGACACACTCGCTGACTTTTCCCTTTATGTTCCTCATGACAGTCCATCCTGCTGCGGCTTTAAAACCCTCACAGTCAAAGGAGATGGAGCTGTATTCAAAGAGCTGCACAATCTGAGCCAGATCTGTTTTTAAGACACAGAGACAGAGATCTCTCAGGATACAGATATTCTGACATTCAGTGCAAAAAAGGTGAGATACTGTGATAAAATTATTAAATAAATATTAAAATATTACATTAAAATGTTTAAATATTTTTGGATGACTATAAGCAACTGTCTAACTGCCACTTACCACTTTCCTGAGTAGAATTAAGATGAACTTGGGCAAACAGCAGCGTCAAAACATTCATCACTGGAGAGACAAAGGCGAGAAATTACGTTACTATTAACATTATATGAACTCTTAAATGAATCATCATCTTTTAGAGTCTTAAAACTTTTTTTGTAGCTAAATGTGACATGAAGGCAGACTCAGTACTCACACAGTCTGATCCAGAGAGCTGTGACCTCCATGTTGTCTTGCTGCGACTGTCAGACTGAAGTACAGCTGAAGTGTAATGTAGGTGAGAACCTCCTCTTCCTGTGTGGCTGATGGATGATGACGACCTAAAATTAAGCTTCTGCTGTCACGTAGACAGCCCACACGGCACATTTTCAACAACTTTGTGCTGAATCACATTACTAAAGACCAACTGTATAGAGTTGTGACAGATTATTCTGTACATATAGACAATATGTCGAACCTGCTGCAAGTATTTGTTCCATTCAGCCACAACACTGATGTTGGGTGATCAGGTCGAGCTCGAAGTCAGCATTCAAGTTCATACCATCATACCGATTTAAATGAGGGTTAAGTCAGGACTCCAGACTGTTGACGCAAAGTTGGAACACTTTTGTCTTAATTATCATTGTATGTGGTAGCATTAAGATTTCTATTCATTGGAACTAAGGGGCAAAAACCAGGGAAAGTTTACTTACCTATGGGGCCCTGGAAGGTCACAGAGGGATTTATTTCTCTTAATGCATTCATTAAGTTTTGCATTCCCCTGTAATATTTCCCGTTACCTTTTGTATCCCCTGACTGTGTCTGGTTGTGACCACGGTGCAAGTGGGCGCACCCTCAGCTGTGGCTGCTCAGGCTCGAGTCTGTACCATTGCAGCTAGACGGATGACTGTGCTTACACATACGTTTAGAACGGGTGTAACACTAACTACAGAGGTTTTGTGTGTGTGCAGTGAATAGATGTGGTGCGTTATACTGAAGCTACTGTATTCCTGAATTCCCGTGGTGTTATTGGTAACTCATCGTCATATCTGACAGAAACACTGTGGGTTCAAACCCTGAGTGATCACGGTACAGCTACTGTAGCCACACCCACAGTGTCCGAGGTTCAGCCAGTGGATGTAAACTGTCAGAGCTCGGCCTTTTGAAAGCTGAGCAATAAAGGCATATCATATGCAGAGCGTTTCCCTAAACTGCCAGCGTATTATAACTGGACTGAACCAACACAGCAACCTATGGATCAGGGGGAATGCAAAATATTTATAAAAGTTAACCAACAAAACAGAGCCTCAAGGGGGCGCCACAGAGCTTTAAATGATCCTGCAGAAGTACTGATTTTAGATAATAGAGCATCTCACCAATATTATCCATAAAAGCTTCACTTCCCTTCACTCAGCATCTTCTTTGTGGCACTGGAAGAACTTCATCAGGTCTAAGAACACAACCCTGATGGTGTCATAAGGTCCAGTGTTAGGTTGAGCTTCAAATTTATCAAGAAGAAAAGTATGGATGACCGCCTCTGCTATGAGTTTGACCCATGGACAATGCAGGCTCCAGATGTTTGACTGACACGTGCTAGACATTAAGAGCTACATTATCCTGTCTCGTGAGTCCACACCTTTAACAGGACACGGTACTGTGACTGTGGTCGAACACCCATGTGAACCTGTAACCTAAACACTGATGATACCTAGCACCAAGACGCTCAATCTCGCTAGCACACTGCACAGACGGCCATCGTGCTCGCTAAACCCAGTGCGTACTTTGGCCAGACAAGACACGTCAGCACTATCGCAACTACATTAACGGGGTTCTAGCCACGTGCAACGGGACCGTTATTCTCAGCTACCACACAGTCTGACTAATCAACACGTGCGCTGACCACAGAGTCTATTTGAACAGCGTTTTTAGCAGTGTGAGGAGAGCAGATAGAACAATGTGGTTTAACTGTCACGCTTTAATAAACTGCTCAGTCTTAAAAATAGACCCCAGGGCTGCGAGACAGATGAAGAGCTCAGATAAAGGTTATGAAGGTTGATGAACAGACACAGCTTTATACACCATCATTATTATTCCACATTCCCTTTTTCTTTTTTATTATGAGAACACTCCAACTGATGTTATCACAAGTATAACATTTGAAAACAGAAGTCCTCATATACAACACATAATAATACATAAATATAAAACAATTTGTACATTTTACAAGCAAGGCTGTAAACCGTCTCTCCTTCAGTCAGGTGTCTCTGCTGTCAGTGACCTGGAAGACACACAGAATGACCAAAATTGTAAATATTGAATCATACATTTAAAATCTTTTGGGCTTCATTCAGACTTTTCCATTTCTTTCAAGAATGAATGTTAGTATATGTATTAATTCTTTATTTAAACTACAAGACCCACTCCTCCAGTTTCGTCAGTCGACTGATCTTTACGCATCAGTGCCTTGTGTTTAAAGATTCTTCTTTCACTTTGAAGTTAGTGTGTAATGCTAATATTAGTCAATGTCCTGAAGAAATATCTGTACATTGTTTGGTCATATGCATTTTCTTTCCAGGCTTGGTCTATATCCTGCAATTCAGGCATGCACAGGATATAAATCATGTGAGGTCAGTAATCTCTGGCATTATTCCTTTCTCTTTCTGCAACTATCTGGTCGACTAGGAGCTATGCAAGGTGTGTAAAAAGGGTACTATGACACATTTAGGAGAGATTCTTACCTAATCAATTGTATAGTAGAAAGCACCTTCATATGTTGTACTCTCGTTGGTAGCTGGCGTCCAGGTGTCGATGAATGGTGTCGCTGTGAAGACTCCTGGCTCTGCTTTGGAAACAAGTCAAATTGTTTGATATACTTTTATAACTCAGTCATTCTTATAACTGTGAAGTCAATGAGTAACAGTAAACTGGCTGCCACCCACACAGACCTCCATTTTGAGCCATACAAACTGATGTGGAGACAAGAGGTAATGAAAATTTCCACTATAGGTAACTCGAGGTGCACGTTTGGCCCTTTTCCAGTCCAGAGTGTCATGGCCATTCACCTGAAGCTGTTTGGTAAAATAAAGAGTTCTTGATAGTCTAGTTTCAGCCTATGCTGACACTGTCACTCAAGGTCTGTGGTTTTCTCATGTGGTTTGCAAATAGTCAAGTAAGTCTGTAGCTGTGTCTCTAGCTCCTGACATAAATACACACAATGACCTTTCAAGTTTTTTCAATAATTTTACTCCTTTCAATTTTTAAACTTTTAAAATGTATTCAAGATGTGCAGGGACTTTCACCTTTGAGCTAATTAAATAGTTTATGTGCAGCAGTTTGTGTTTGTCTGTGTGAAGCAAAATACCTGTACAACTCATGACTGCTGTGCTCAGAGAATACATGGCCCCTTGTGGTTGAACTACACCGGCTGGTCCAGACACTGAAAGAAAGAGACCAAACAGAAAAAACCTGTTATTTTGTATTTCAACTGGAAAACACGCCAAAACAATAATAATGCTTACTATACTAATCAGCTTATTTAAAAAAAAAAAAGTCCCATAACACAAAATTCAAATCAGATAGTTTGGTTTATTTGGTTAATTGACTTTAAGATAACTTCACCAGGTAGGAATCACATTTATGGCCCATCCTCAGATTAAAAACCAAGCACACAATTAATCTCTCCACCCAGTGGAAGCGAGTTGCTGTGACGTGCAGCTGACCACAGCCAACATATGACAACCCCCCCTTCTCCCCCTAAAAACATTGGTGTATTTTGAGACTCAACTCACGTCTGACAGGAGAGCAGACAGGCAGAAGTTTTTAAAAGTGTTCAGCTCTCAGAACCTTTGTGGCTTCTAACTGAATCTCTGTGGTTTGAAGTTCAGTTTCTGTCTTGTATCCCTGTTTGTCCTTTCAGATATCTGCTTTAATCAACTATTTCTTGTCCGCTTGCAGCTGTATAGAAGTCGTGTTGAGTTACTCAAGATGAAAACACTTCCTGATTTTGCTGCTTCATAATAAAAGCTTTTAAAAAAGAAATAGTCAGAAACATTTATTGTGAAGAATTTATAGAACGTTAAATGCGTTTATCGTAGGAGTGGAGTTGGCTGGTGACTTTTCTTAAAAACAAACAATTCAATCAGGGCGCTTTCTGGGCTGAGTCAACTGAGCCAGCCAATTATAGTAATTGTACCAATACAAACACAGTTTATGTTCCTTACCTGTTTGTGTTTCCCCTGACTGGGATCTTGGCAGTGACACCTTTTCTTTTGAAAAACACACCAACACTGGAGGACAGAAAAGAAAATGTCAGCAAACAGTACGTATCTGTTATTTACTCAATGATTTCCCTTTATTTTTACATTCAGTACCTCTGTATCTTCCACAGAGACACAGTCCCATGAACAGCAACGGCAGAGCCACCAAACACAAGGCCACAGTGATGCACAGGATGAAGAGATGAGAGGAATGATCTTCATGAAGTGATGGAGGTGCTGTTAACATATAGGATTTATGTTGTCATTTAGTGATTTATCTGCAGTAAAAGTGCATCAATCAGAGTATCTGTTGTATCTCACCTCTAACAGTCAGCCAGCTCTGTGCTGATTCTTCAACACCAATGATACACTTATAGTGTCCTTCATCAGACTTAGAAACATTGTAGATGGTAATGTGTCCTTCATAGCCAGTCTTTAGCCAGTTGCCATCTTTATAGAAATCAGCTATAGGGACAGAAGAAGTCGTCTTGTTTCTGCAGCTCAGAGTCACATTGTCTCCCTCCGTCACAGGAAGAGCGGGACTCTCCATGATCACAGAGCCAGCTAAACAACAGGATTATTATGCCAGAGTTAATTTTCATCATTTTGCTGTAATGTGAAATAAAACAAGCACATAAGGTTCTAACTTAACATATAGAAAGTGTTTTTCTCCTAAGTTCCCTTAAGTGTAAATCCCTTTAAAATCCCAAATACAAATATGCTGAGAGCACACCTACAGTGGCAGATTGTTCTGAATTTACAAAGCAACTACCATCTTGCTCTGGTGACGTCATTCAGAGCCAGAGTTTGCACAGTATTGATCAGGGTTGGAGCCATGGTATCAAGATCCCACCCATACCTTATAACCCTTTTTATAGCTTCAAATAACTAAAACATAAAACTTGAGCATCATCAGTGTGATAAGAAATAACTAAAATGAGGGAAACCATCTTTTTGAAACATTTCTTTGACGTGTGCTTTGATTTTTTTGGTCCCATCTACTCACATGGAAGAAGCACATTTTATGACATATACTGCCGTCAGCCACCATGGGGCGATGAAGATATTTTGCCGTCACTTTTAGGGAGCTGTCACGTTGTCCATCTTTTATATGCCGACCGTTTCCACCAAGGACCATCACATTACAACAGGCATTTGATTCATGTAGGTTTGAATTTTGTGCTCAAAATTAATATTTATTTACTTTGTAATGTAACAAAGGTTAACTTACCAGTGACACTGATGGTGACGAAGTTGTTTGTCATTGTTCCGTTAGCTTCACACCAGTATTCTCCACTGTCTAATTCAAAGGCATTTTTAATAAAGCAACGTCCCCATGATGTCTCCCATTTAGAACTGCATATTGTTTCGACTCCCATGATCCTCCTCATCAGTCTCCACTCGGTGAAATCATCGAATCCCTCACAATCAAATGAGATAGAGTCATATTCAAAGAACTGGAGCTTGTTTGGAGCAACACGAAGAAAAGCTGCATCTGAGAATAAGACACAGAGAAACTGATTATTTATTGTAAAATATTCTCAATGCAATATTTGCAGTTGTGACAAAAAATATTTAAAGCTACAGAATTAAGACAAGATTTTACTCAGTATGAATATAATCTTTCCAAGTCCATGTGCCCCTTTTTAGATAACTAAAAAGATAACTTGATTTGGAAATAAGTGTTACTTACCAGCTTTCTCAGCGCAGTAACAGTGCTGATCTTCTGCAACTAAAAGCATTAATACATGTATTACTGGAAATACAAAGAAAAAGAGCTGTTAGATCAGAATATATGCTTTTATTGTCATCTTACAATATTAATATTGATATGTAGAGACAGACTCAGTACTCACCCAGTCTGATGCAGAGAGCTGTGACCTCCATGTTGTCTTGCTGCTGACTGTCTGAACATCAGACTGAAAGACGGATACATATAAAGGAGGTGAGAACTTCCTCTTCCTGTGCAGCTTATTTCTGGTGACTGAAAGGTTGAGAGGGGTCAGTTTGAATGTGTCTGCTGCTCTGAGAAAGTTCTTATTGGTTGAGCCTCTAAGTAGCAACAGTGAAATGGTTTTTAATGCATGAACTATCAAGCCTACAAACCTATATGTCATAAATGTGCAACAATCAAATAACGCATTGTAACTAAATAAAAAATATATAGAAAAACTAGAGTGCATACATCTGTCACAAATCAAACAGTTTAGAAACCACTAGTTTAACCTTCTTCTGCCCTGTGCAGTAAATCACTCTTTACCCAGGTGGATTCAACTTCCTTGTTCCACCCTTGTGTTTCATATCTAGCAATGTCAAGACTACAAACATGTTATCTCTTAGTTAAACTTTAACTTTTTAACCTCAGAGTGAAATACAGGTAATTTTATTAGACTTTGGCTGTGCAGCTGAGGACCGTCTTTGAGACATACCACAGGTATGTGGCTTTTTTAAACAAGAAATAAACAATATAATAGCTGATTTTCATACACTTTAATTGAAAATTCATATTGACTGACTGTAAGAATAAGATCAAATCTACAATCACTGCCGATTGTCTTTCAACCGCACTGTTTTTCTGTATTTATAAGGCTTGTCACGCTCAGTGTCACGTGCAAAACGTACAATGTAAAAAGGATTTTACCGGTAAACTGCTAATTGGAACAGATTTTGAGTTATAATACATAGACCAATTTATCACAAGGTCCTTCGTGAGCAGTTTTTAGAGCCAACATGCAAGTATGTCATGGAAAACATTTCCTGCAATCAACTTTTAACAGTATTACTGCTGTATAACATACAGAGTTCATAGAGAGAAAAACTATTGCACTGACGTTTTATTACTTTACTGAGCGCTGGAAATGTTATTAGCTAAATATTTGAAGCTGGTCAAGTCTGGATCCCTAACTGTGTGAACAAGCCTATATTTAAGATATCTTTCTTCAACTTTATGAGACTGCTGAATAATTGCCTTATATTTGAGATGTGAAAATATACTTATGATATTTTGTAGATCTTATGATTGTTTATTTCAGTTTTCAGGATGTTTCACCAGTGGAATGGAAGGCTCTCTAAATCGTATCTCAGTACCATCAGTACTTTGGTTTTTCTTCACATTGCTGTCTTCCTTCTTCTAACACACTGCTGTGGAGGTAAATTGCACACAAACACAACTGAAACAGTTTAAAGATAAAACATCACGTTTAGAATTTAATTGTGCAAATAAAGAAAAATCATCAACACTTGAGCCTTACTTTTTAGATCAGAACCTTGTAAAGGTCTAATACCACTATGCACTGTCAGAGGCTTTGACACACACTCGCAATATGTATGGCAAGGTCCTGGGGACGTACCACAGTGGTAACTGGTGAGCACAACCCAGGCCCAGCTGTAGCATGCTACATGAACATTTTCCTACTCTCAGCCACAAAAGTTATTAAACTGCTATAGATCAGACTGTTCACTTGAAGACACCTTGGAGGTTTTTTTTTATTAAAGTATTATTTTTTGGCCTTTTTGCCTTTATTTGATAGAGATGGCTGGGTAGAAGCAGGAAGGGGGGGGCAGAGAGAGGTCGG